TCACCAGCCTTGTGACTTTATTAGAAGAGACAGGAAGATAAAGAGACATGAGTTAAAAGAAATAAATTAGTAACGCAGCACAGAGCAGATGCATTCATGTGCTGTTTGACGGTTTTTCCAAGGACAAAAGAGCAATACTAAGTATATTTGATAAGTTACAATGAATGTGTAACTACAAATATAACTCACGGAAAAGAATTGATGTACCTTGAATGACTATTGGCAGAGAGCCCTGAAGTCATGCCAAAAACTGTAGGAACCTTAAACTGATAAACCAGAGATTAAGGGGTGGGTGGGTCCAATAGGTCAAACTGTTAACTTGTAACAATGTACTTGATTATAAAGTAATCGCTGCACCTAAAAATGTAAAATGAATCACCTCTTAAGCATCAAAGGATGTTCGTCAGACCACACATTGACCACACTGCAGGCGTTTAGCATAGAAAAAAGGGTTAATTCGCAATAATTGCAACAGCGTACGTGCATGCTTTCACACAACCACAGACACACACTCTGCTGAGTGCAATGACGCCTGCCACAGATGTAAACAATGCACTGTTCATGAGTGTTGCCATGGTACATGACTCCATTTATAAGTTATGCACCGCTTTGTTTTAGGCCACGCTTGTTGCCGCATTCTTTTTATGCGAGTTTGCAGAAAAATAAACATACACTCACATCGTTGACCTCTATGTTACATTTCAGTCTGCTAGGGTGAAAACTGTGGCGGCTAAAGGTCGGGAAAAATGTTTTTGAGGAAATATTGAAACCGACAAAGTTGCTGGTGGCAACTAAAAAAAAAACATCTTCGATAAACCTTGCAGATTGGATCACTATTTATTTTAATTGTAATCACAAATAGACGACAGCAACATTTGTATTTAATTATATCAAAAATGTTGCTGATCATTACTTTAATTATTATCTTTCATGCATGAACAACAAGCCCTAGCTAATGAACAAATTAAAATATAATTTACATTCCTGTGCTCCTTGCAGCACAAATGCCTAAAGTAGATAATTTGTATGCACCCAAAACTGTGTTACTGTATATACCCGGTTATGGAGGAACAATCTGTCATTTCGGATGGGAAAATTGATACCAGCAAATATCTTAACAACCTTAAAATGCAGTGAATTTAAAAGGGTAAAGCTGGTATTAGCCAAGGGTGATAAAGGAGGAAGGAAGGCGACAGGTTTGTTCTAGACATCTTCTCCAAAAAATAAAGAAATGTAAACATACTGTGAAGGTCAATTCGATTGTAAGGGCTTGGGAATGTGTGAGTGTTGCACTATTATACACAGTAGCAACAACTTTTAAAAAGTCACTTAAAAATCAACATTAAAAATATGAAAGCTGAGCGGGATGAAGGACAATACAAATAAATCGTACCTATCATGAAACTCCCTTCTGACTCTCAGTACTCTGTTTTGGGCATTTAGCATCGTAAGTCGTAAGCCTTTTTTTAAATCACTCAGATCCCAAATTATACCATGGGTCATTGTCCAGCAGCTGGGCACTGTGGATTTAACAAATGTTATTCACAAAATAATAATTAGTGCGTCTGTTGAGGACCATTTTCATCTGTGTTGTAATACATATGTATTGCTCTTATTGTGAATTGTTCATCAATCCTATCTTTCAGCTGTCCATGACACCCACTTTTATGCAATAATTTAAGTGCATTAATATAAGTCTATGAGAAAGATAAAGATATATCAGGCTTCCGACAATACTGAAGAGGATTGAAATCATTGTGATTTGTTTTTTCATGATATGTGTTATTAACAATGAAAACACCAGCTTTATTCTTTGAATTGTGCATGCTCTGCCAATGTTGATTTTTCGGAAGTGGCCAATTAGTTTGTATACTTATGTACCTTTTAGCCTTCTGTTGTGTGTCATTAGAACACAGGCTGACTTGAAGGGAATACAGTAGGACATTTGAAGTCATATTGTCATTAACAATAGCCAAGTATCTGTATTGGATGCCGTTTCATTGTTAATGCAACAACCTTGTATCATTACTGTATTAAAAGAAACTGCAGTACTGCCCATCCCTATATTACCAAATGCCATACAGATATAGCAAACAATGGCCTCCCATTCATTGTGAATCCTCACAACAGTTCAGATTTGAGAGCCTGGGAGGAGTCCCTGAATGCCTCACGTCACTCAGTAGTCAGTGCACAAACGGGAAAGCAGCCGCGCAGGTTTAAGAGCGGTTAAGACAAGCTTTGTGCTTCAGAGATGTAATTGAGTTACAAACGTGCTAGGAATGCCACATTTTCCCCTCCCTGGACTTATTTTTTTTACCACAGAAGAGACAACCGATACTCTGCTTTAGAGAGCTGTTTGAAGCATTTGAACGCTGCTTTCGGAGCAGAAGGAGAAGACACCGTCAGTGGAAATTGTTTTACCTGCCAGCGACAGCCTGAGAAGAAGCAAAGGTTGTCTCATGTCTTCAGTCAGGCCGGTCTGCAGGGAAATTAAACTTTTAAAATACATTTGACATACTTCTTCCAGTACATGCTACGGTTTATTACCGTGATATATGCTATTCAATTCCAAAATAAACCTGAAAAACAAATATTTTCCCCTGCGTTTCAAAAAGGAGGTAGTTGTATAAAACTTACCAAAGTATTTTCCCTCGGCCGTCATGTTCATGTTTTTGCCAAATTAAAGTTCCGTGTCGCTTTGTTTTCGATACTGATGACTCTACTTCCTGTTTCTCCACTATTACCTGTTGAGGACACACCTGTTCTCTTAAAGAGACAGCAGCCTGAATAAACAATGGCGGAAAGTAAACCTTTAACTATATTTAACTGACAGCTGTTACGAGTATGCTTACGTTTCAGATTTAAAATACTATACCACGATACATTTTACAAAACAGAATTCATTGAGATATATTAAACTATTGAAAGTAAGATTCACCTCGAACAGCTGTAACTCTATAATGCTGCTTGTCCATTATTGTGTTAGTCTAGGAATGCCATATGCAATAATATAACTAATAATAATAACATATTATAATATAATACACAGGTCAAATGAAGAATTCTTTTTTATTTAAAGTACATTTCGCTGACAATACTAGTATTTTGACATTGTTGTATTGGTACGTTTGCTTGAGAAAAAGAGAATGCTTTTTCTATCACTATTAATTATACTACTTCTTTATAGTTGTGGTGTTTTTTCATCAATAATAGTAAACACTGTATTCGGGTACATGTCTTGAATATAAGTGCCTTGATTATTTCCAATGCAGGTTTTTAATGATGGCATTGCAGTAATGAGTAATTACCAAACAAACAAGAAACATATCAGATATCCTGAAAGTTCCACACACTAAAAAGAGCATCATTAACTATACATGTAGCGTATTTATACTCTTTTGTTTTCTTATATTTTCTTGTAAATGAATGAAATCCTACTGTGGAATACAGTGCCACACTGATAGCAGTAATGCGAAGACCTTATCCCTTTTTAGAGAATGTATTTATTAGATTTTATTGACTTTCATGTTTGAAGGTCAATCTTTTTTTGCCCTGTTATGTGGCAGCTATGATCTGATAAAACAAATTAATTATTTGCTTAATTTACCCACTTGTGGTATAATATGGATGAATGTCAATCAAAACAAGGACATCCATTAGTTTGTGCATAAAACCATAACATGATGATGTCCGCTGAAGAAAAATACTCTGAGGACAAAAGTGTTGTGATATTTTTCAGATGTTATATTAGTGCCACCCACTGGTTAATTCCAGCTACCAGCACATCTTTGTAGTCAAAGATCTCAGTGGGAGCCACAGCTGTGACTCCCATGATTATTCACAAACCCTCTGAAAATACAAATGGATTTATAATCAGTTTTAAATCACTTGTTAAATCTGTGCCCCAGGATGCGTTTCATGAAGTCGGAAAACGCAGAGCTAACCCCCTGAATAAGTGATGTCATTATGTTTCAGTGCTTTAGTAGTGAAAAAGGCTCAGCTCTGCTTTTTTCCGGTAGCTGAAAAAAGTAGTGATGCACACAGTAGTAGCTGTTCTGATGATTTTCTAAAGGTAATTGCAAGCAGCTGAGGTTTAAATTATGATTTATATGTGAAAGAAAGAGTCCAGAATAAGAACTTAATTTAAATGTGACTACACTAAATCAGCGAATTGTTTGTCTATAAAGCAAACTTTGTATTTAAGGCGTTCACCAGAGACTGGATAGTCCCAGTAGAAAATGATAAAATCATTAACATTCCCTATTTGCGTGCTTGAAGTGTGTTTGCATGCAAGAGACAATCATAAACAAAACAAATATATAGAGTAATACATGTACTACCTACTCTTAACAATCCAAAGCCAAGGAAATGTGTTGTGTCTGCAGGGCGAATAGTGTTTGTGCTGGATAAGAAGCCTGCAGTACAAAGCCTATTTCATAATGAGCTCCAACATTGTCATTGGTTTCCCTTCAAAAGAATACCACTGCATTTTATCAAGTTTACAAACTGTATTGTTGAGTGAGCATGTGTTTGGAAACAGGTTAGATGAGGGGGGGATGAAGTTTAACAATGGAGAGTTGACGTATTCAGTGCACAAGCAAAATTAAACCTTTTCTGTACAGGAAATGGACAGGGAGGGCAGGAAACTGCTGGAAAACAAGTAGACGCCTACGTGACTCACTGACTGGACCTGACCTTAAAAAGCAGAGCAGAGAGGAGAACAAAGTCCTGAAACATTAATTTCAACGCAGGTTTAATGGTGGTTTCAGTAATAGTGGTAGATGTAGAAGCCGTCGTCTTTAACTAGATTATTTCTCACAATGAAATGGAAACTACTTTGATTCTTATTTTTATTTTGAGCCATAAATCTACTGGCAGAGTGAGTTGCGCTGCACCTTAACCTCTGGGAAAGTGAAGTGGAAGCTTTGTTAGTCTCAATTTTGGAGAGGTAGGTGATTCCCACTCTGTGGCCTTCTGATATGGATGACTTCAAGGTATACAGTAAAGGGAATTCCAGGTTATATTTAATGCATGCAGGTTGTGTTCCTGCTCTGCTATCACTGCTTCCTCTCTCTCTGTTTTGTTGTGGCAGCTGTGCTTGAGGGGATTCATTTTAGTTTTGGCAGTCGAACTGTCCCTATTTTGTTCCAAGTTGTGATTCAATTGCGGTATGCAATGCCAAGAGTGTTGTTTGTTGGATGTTTTGCAAATAAATTAAGAAAAAAAAAGAATAACCCTCAACATTGGGTTTGCATTTTTTCTAATAGAGGGACATGCTGCTTTAATTGCTTTTTGCTCTCATTTTAATTTTACATTTTCTCTGGAGGGAGTTATTATTCTTGCTGCAGTGGCACCCTTGCTTCACGAGTACAGAGGAAAGGGCGGGATGTTTCTGCGGTCATGGACAAATTCCTCTGTCTGTTCTCCCTCTACATCAGCAGGTGTTATGGATCTACATTATTTCCCGAGCTGGAAAGTTGCCCTGCTGCTTCTCTTGGGTAAGGTCTTTGTTTCCAGCCAGCATCCTAATGATATCTGTTTAAAACTCTGCTTGAAACTACAGGAAGAAAAATATGTTCTGCAATGCGCTCTGACACAAACGCATACTTACTTTGTTATATGCCTTTTGCATGAATAATAAGCTTACATTATTTACATCTCCTTCATCCTTGGCCTATCAAGTTAAGACGTGTGATTAATACTCGTTGTATTAATTGTAACACAAAGAGGCTTACCAGGCCCACTGCATTTTGACACAGGATTTAAGATATTGATGGGGTTTGATGGATATCACATTAGGCATGGGCTGTCGTGCGCTATAAATCATCGCTTGACATTGTTTGACAGAAAGAAGCCATACATATTCAAGTACATGCCGAGGACGAAGATGAAGTATTATGCCATTGTTTGTTTTACTAGCCTTCCATTCTGCCCAAACAATGCAAATCCTCCAAATGCTAAAAGGTCGTAGTTATGAATATGAAATAAGCAGATTTCTGATGCAATAACACATTTTTGTCCTCAGTGCCATGCGGGCTGCAGTGTATGTCGGTGCATGTACTCAACGAGGAGCCTGTGCATGTGGTGCCGGGACAACAACTCTTTCTGAGGGCTCAGATCGAGCATGGACCCCTGGAAGAAGTCTCCTCGGTGACCTGGGAGAGGGAGCCTGAAACTGGAGTGACCCACGAGCGAGTGACACTGGCCACGTGCCCGGGCAGGAGCCTCAAGTGTGCCGGCACCAGGCCAAACGTCCATGTGAATATGGAGCAGCAGGAGACAACACTGGAGATGAATGCATACGAGGCAGCAGACGGCGGCGTGTACACTCTGACTGTGACGGATCACAGAGGGGCCAAAACCATCGCACAGTGCATCGTCAGGGAATACGGTAGGAGTATGATGCCCAGCATGTGAGGGAATTTGTTGTGAAGCCTTAAGTAATACTGCAGATATTTTTAAACAATTAGTCCTTATTGATTAGTCGAATTACCCAAATCTCATATTATTTTCCAATCATCAGCCATTCATTCTCATTTCTAGGCCCTTAAGAAAAACACTATGATGACTGGTACAACACACCCCTGATTTATGAAAGCAAAAGCTAAAACGCATGTGATGTTTGACTTTATTTATCGATCAAATAAAGACTTTTAAGGGGCCATCTTCTCCAATTAAATGTTTTTTTCTGGCCAAATCTCTCATTTTATCAACCTTCGCAAACAAAACTATCTTATAATCGACGTCCAATTGATTATATTTCTTTTTCTTTTTTAACAGATGTAGGTTTTTCTTCTGAGCACTTTTCATCTTTGTTTGTCAGACAAAATAAGTTATTTAAAGACCACAACCTGGGCACTCTGAAACTTGAATTTGCATTTTGTTCTTATTTTCTTCTATATCAAACAACAATTACTTAAAGGACACCTATCATGCTATATTTGAACAATATATTGTAGGGCCATACCTATATAAAGTATATAAATATAGTTTTTTTTTCAAAATACCAAACAGATCGTGCATTTTAGCCATGCCTCATTTCGCTCCATTTGCTCTTTCCAGCACTGTTTTTGCAGGGGGCTGATTCTGTGAGCTGCAGCTGACCACGCCCCCCTGCAGGAGAGGAGAGCGTGCTCTGATCAGCTGCTGGGCTGTCAGAAGAGGGGGGAGATCTCCGTCCTCCGTGTTTTATTATTTTATTATATAGAGTCGTTATTCATTTGTTTTAAAGCTCAATAAATAACAAAGAAGACCTTTGACCGGCACTTTTCTAATTTTGTCCGGAAGATTTCAACTTTAACGGACATCTTGACCCGTGAAAAAAAACCTAACTGAAACTCTGCCGCACGGTCCCCTCGTTCCTTGGAAGAGGCGGAGAGGTGGGTGTTTGTCATCTGCTGGTGGACTAACCGGAGAGAATTACAGTGCTTGCCTCGACGGGGAGGGATTGCATTGAATTAAAGCAGTGGGAGCAAACGCTTGCCTCGGGGAGGGAGAAAAAAAGCCACAGCGGAGAATAAACAGAAGGGCAACCATGGCAACCATACGCGGGAAGTCTTCTTCGCTGCTTTTGTGGCAGACTACAGCGCCACTTACAGGCCTGGCATATGTACTACAGCGTCTCCAGCGCTTTCGAGCGGCAATGGCCGGCCGTGGCCCAACCCCACATTCCTCTGATAGGTGGAGTTGGCCCAATAGCCGTAGCGCCACCGTCCTGACGACAGTAACGTGTTCAAATCTGGATCAGTTTTTATCAGATCCATTGCAGCCCCGTTTTTAGAGATTTGGGTATGGAGGAAAATAGAGAGGGTTGTGTTTTCTGACACTTGGTGAGTTCCCTGGAACACCGGGGACACATATTCATGTATAAAAGACGTACAAAAGTGCATTTTGCATGATAGGTCCCCTTTAATACTGTAGTTAATTGCAATAATAATTTGATGAATGGATAAAGAAAATAATAATAAGATACAGCCCTTGTTTCTTTTCTATTCCACAATATATAGAAATGAAATGTATAAGGATACAGGGTTAGTTCAAATACCAAATTGTACTATCTCAGAGTGGTCCAACAATTACCAACAGTTTAATGAATGTGTTTTAATTTCACGCCAGCAGGCATTGTTTCTTTCTGATTTTGGAAAGAATCATTTAATAATTAAAGAATTTGCCTATAGGCTTTGCTTGCTGGGTCTCTCTTTTGTTTCATTGCTTCTAGATAATTCCTGTCTCGACGTAGCTTACTATTCCTCTGTCCAAGCTTTTATTTTACTCTCATCTGTCTGCGCTAACAGTATCAATTCATCAGCTTCACTCTTCTCTACGTCTGCTCTGCCGCTCCCAGGGCTATCCATCATCCCCTTCTCCGACATTATGCCTCACCCGCCGGGCTCATTATTGTCTCTGAAACTAAACCAGTTTCTCCTGACAGCATTTAACGTCTCTCATGATTCTTTGTCTCAGAGCCTTTCGGACAGCCATTCGCCATTATTCTTATTTTATAATCGAGAGATGCCCACGGCTCCTCTTTCTATCAGGCTCTGAGTTTTTTACCTCCAATCCTTATCATCTCTTTCCACTCTAATCCTCTCGTCTTTCTTCGCAGAGGAAGTGCACCATGTCTCAGTGAGCATCAACACGTCTCACTCCACGCTGGTTTGTGGCGAGGCCTGGGGCACTGACCCCCACTTCAGCTGGCTCCATGAGAGAGCGGCCATCACTAACTCAGTGGGAAGAGTCTCCAAAGATGGAACTACATTGTTGGTGACAAAGATTCCCATCTGTGGCCACTTCACCTGCATGGTCAGCAACGAGCTGGGCCACAGTTCTGCCACCTACACTGCAGGTATGAGTGTTTCTCTGGTGTGTACATTTAGTGATATTATTTTGCCTTGCTTTGGACTGAACTACTTTATAAATATAATAAGAAAATGCTCACTTGGAGTCACAACAAAAACAGACTGTTCATTTTCCCTCAGATCAAGGAGCATATTTTAGCTCATTATTTTGGTTTTACAGCCCACAACTTTACTGTTTCTGTACATTGCTTCAGTTTTAAGCTAAATGGCTCTAAAAAAAAAAAGGCTTCTGTAAGCTTCCTGACCAACAACAAGCGTCAGGAACATAAACTTTGAGAACATATTGGATGTTTTGGCAGCTGGAGAGCCAGATAACTCAGCTGATGGTGGAGACCAAATCAGAGCTAATAAGGAGAGTTAATATTATATTTATTAGCAAATAGCTAGGTATAGCAACAAATACAGTACTGTATGATGTAGCCCTGTTTCAGCTAGATGTATAAATAGGAAACAGTTAACATAATGTGTTGTTTTACAGCTAGTTCAAACAGCCCCACTAAACTCCAGAATGAAGTACTTTGTACTTCATGTGACAGCTCATGAAGTAAATGCAAATCATGCATTGTTAGAGATTAAACTAACCAGTCAGACAGTTCAAAAGTAATTTGGTAATAGTTACCCAGCTATTTAACAAATATAACAATCCTGTACTTGTTCTGCAGTGGTCCCTTCATATTATTTTATATTTTAAGAGAAAACATTTCAATGGAAGAATTTGACTTGACTTTTATTACATAAAGTACCCGAATGCCTATTTCCCAACTAAAGATTATGATCATTATAATGTTTAATACTTATACTTATATTCTAAGCTAGTTGATTGATTGACAGGTGTCTGTGCTTATGGAAACAAAATTAAGTCAGCTCATGGCTTCTATCATGGAAATTCACAAGTCAGAATCCTTAATCTGTCTATCTTGAGCCGTGTCCTGATTGCACTTTGCTATGGGTATTGTATCACTGATGGTGTTTCAGTGATAAAAGATTTTCCACACTGCGATCAATAAATCACTACCGCAACTGTTACTGCTACTGCTGCTACCACTGCTGCTAAACAGGCGAGACAAATGCAGTTCTCTGTATCTGCCAAAATGTGTGATGATCCAAAGACATTCGGGGTATTTCAGGGTTTGTCCTGTTAGCTCTTGCTGTGGCAGTCAATTTACTGACTCGACAGACTTGTTCCAAAGGACCTTTTTGGCCTTTTCCGGCAGCCATGTCAGATTATGTTTTTCTCCCACCCTCATCTGGTATCTTTTTCCTGGCTGACAGCACCTTGTGAGGCAGAGGGCAGAGGGACAATAGCAGCTGTAGTGTGTCCCATCTTCCTGCTGCTGTTTGGAGGAGTGCTGGCATTTCTGCTCTGGAGGTACAGTAATGCACACAAACACTGGCAGGCACAAATCTCATTTCAGGCTCTGATAATAAAGCCATACTCTGGGAGAAAATAAGAAACCAGTAGAAGCTGCTTTTAAAAGGACAAAAGAACTAAGGGTATAAGATGAGAACAGAACAAATGCTACACAGCTAGAGTCCTAAGTGACACATGAGGCGTGACAGGCCAGGCTGCGTCTGCTGACAAAGCCATTGTGATGTTTACTCGAGCCAGTGTTTGCTTTGTCACTTCTGTTTGATCTAAATTGGACACTTGGTTTTCTTTTCAGGCGACACCGGCACAGCAACAGAGGAGAGAGGCTGCACGAACATTTGGATGACACCATCTAAAAAAAGGCCAAAGATACACTTCTGTTTCTCAGAGAAGAGAACAGGAAATGGACTAAACCGTGAGGCTGGGGCTTCATGTCCTGTGAGCAGAATGACCTTTGGAACAATGTGAAGAGTGAACTGCTTACTGGCAAATACAAAAAAACATCTAAAAATGGATATTAAACTTGTAGTGCCAGCGATGTCTTTGCACTGCCTCCTGCTGGTCTACCTGACACTGTGTATTTGTTAAAGTCATGTTTTTATAAGCTTGTATCAGATGTGAATGGTTTTATACCTTCAAATGCTGCCTTCATAATAAAATCCCTTCAAAGAGTGAAAGAGAACTCAGTGGTTCAGCAGTTTTTTGAAACACTATTAGTTTACTCATCTAAAATTAGATTTAATAAACATTGTGTTTGAACTGCATTTGTTGTTACATGCACCAATACACCATTTCCTTGTACCGTGCTTGAAAACTTGGCAATAAACTGGACTGTGATTCTGATTGAAATGGATAGGAAAGACATAAGGCCTGTACAAGTATACACCGGCAAGAATGGAAATATAAAATATAAAACTTTATAAAATGGTGTTATTTATTGGAGTTTCGGTCATTTCCTTTCCAGCTCTATGAAAAAGACCTTTGTGCATGTAAAAGATGTCAAACTCAGCACACGACTATTTATGTAGGTTCCCATCCCACTTTGGATTTCACTTAGTGATTTGTCTTGTATTTAACTTCTGGGATAATTTGTACTTTCTGTTTGGTTAAAATATTCCTGGTGTTAACCCAAAAGCTGCAAATTGTGTTCGAAAGCTAAAACTCCAAAGACAGAATAATCCACACTGGGCGTGTTAACTTTTCAGAGTCCTCCTTTCCTGCTACGTAACAAATGAACTCTCTAACCCCAGCAGTGTTATGGCTGTGCTGTGTTGATCTACATTGGACCACATGGAGGAAACCAGGCCAGAGGAGCAAGAGGTGAAATTCAGGAAACGTTAAATCGGATGCAGGAGGAAAAAGCAAAACATCTGCCATGAGAGTTTATGTACGCCTCTGAGAGTTTAAGCCAAAGATCGTTTCTGCCTTCCATGACGGTCATTTGAAATATATCAAAGGAAAGACGCTCCACTTGCAGCTACAAAAGTGTTCAATATTGTGAGACCTTAAAACTGATACAAGGAAAGTAGATACAGCTTATTGCTCCCTAGGGCTATATCCCAAGGTAGAAAAGAGGATGATGAAATATTATGAAAATGGAATGAAAATTGAAGAGTGATAGGTCGGGAATACAGATCACTCACTACAGAAGACAGACTATTTAAGTTCATATGCAACTTCTGAAAGCACCTATATATGAAATAAAGCCAGCTTCCTACTGGTCTGTAAAAAGTAGACAATACATAAAACATTCAGTGTGCAGAACCTCCGTCTAAAGAGCACTTTTGACAGTATAAGAAAAGAAGGGCATTTCCCTTGCCCTGATTTGAGCCAAAATCCCTCTCACAAGCCCATTAGCACTGCTCCCATTGTATTGTTAGACTACCCTGTGCACCCCTTGAGCTCGTGTGCCTCCCATCAGACTACAGAGTAGATGGAGGTGCAGGAGAGGCACATCCATCATGTGGAGCCAGCCACGGGCCTCGTCCTGAAGCAGGCCCACGCTGGATGTACAGAAGAAGAGCTCCATTGTCCAAAAACTACAAAAAGGCATCACTGAGCTACAGCATTGCACAGTGTGGAAATGAGCACCTTCCTTATGATGAACATGGTCAGGTCATTCCAGTTCATCTTTAAAATGGGCTTGGTGCCAAACAGGGTGTAGCATTGAGAGATGTTTATGTTTTCTGGTGTTTTTGCCGGATGTTGTTGACTATAACGCCCAAAACTAAATGTTTCAAGTCTGCAATTAAGCTGTTTCTCTCAACAGTAGCTGAATTATCTTAACCCCATGCCAGATTGAAGTATAGACCAGCTGTCTGCAGAACAATCCAGGTCAAAAACATCAAGCATGATTTCTCTACAGCCTCGTTCCTTTAAGCAGAATAATGACATGCTTACAACTACGATACCAACACGCTGGTTTTTAGAAGGTAATGTTCCCCATGTAAACAATCCTGCCAACAGTTGCTAATTAACACTAAACTCAAAGTGCAGCTGATGGGAAAGTCATTAGTTCTGCAGGTATTCGGTCATCAAAGTGTCAGACTAATTTAAATTCTGACCCGGTGATGTTGCCTCTAGCTAAAAAGGCAGGGAATCATCAGAATCATTTTTGATTTATCCTCTAGTCATCATCATTGTGTGTACAAAATGTGAAGCAATAGTTCAGACCAAAGACACTTTAAAACCATACATAAAGTGTTATTAGCTTACACACTCGGTTGACAAAAAGACTGCAGTGGGTACTTTATCAATTTTACATGAAATCCCCCATCAAAATGATCTGTAAATAATCTAATGCATTATATTTTATGTTATTACATTGCAAGACTCTGAGGACTGACAATGAAGAATGGCTGGGAAGGACTCACTGTTTGGTCATAATTCACACAGTCCATAAAATAGAAAAGACTGTCTGCTGATCCCTGACAGCTCAATAATATCTTATCACCATCTCAGCCCACAGTCACACACACACGCACACACACACAATAACTGATTCATAGATTCAGATGATTGTTTGTGGGGGTATCTGGAGCTGTAAAGAGCAGTGCACTGATTTGTGACACATCCATGAGAAACATCAGCCACCAGTCTTCCCTCTGTTGACCCCAATTATTCAATGTCTCTGCATTCCAGCCATGCTACGCTTATCACGGCATTTCCTCACCAGAACTATACGTATTCATGTGTTTGGAGATAGGGAGCAGTGAGGGGAGAATGGGTGGACTGGAGTGATTAGAGGAAGTGTGTTGTTATGAACCTCTTAGCTCTTTAGGCATGGTTTGACCATTTTTGGAAATGTACTTGCTTGCTTTTTTGCTGATATGATAGATAAGACTAATACCACTCTATTTCTAAACATGAAGCTACACAAGAGATAGTTAGCCTAGCATAAAAGCTGTGGAGAAACGGCTAATCTGACTCTGTATATATACTCCTGTAAAACTGCAACTTTTACATGTATATGCTATTTTTACAATTTGGTTATATTTCAAATATTTTCATTGGGAAGAAGCATACAAGTGTAAGCAATAGTACAGACTTCCTTGGGGTGGAAATCATGCTTCTCTTTTTCAACATAGAAGACATAGAGGGAAACAACATACAAAATAATCATTAAAAAGAAAGTATATGATTACAAATAAATAAATAAACTTAAACGGTGCAAATGAGCCAATTATGAAACCTGAAAATGAGCATTATGGGGCCCCTTCAAAAGTCTTCACTTCACAGAGCTATTGCTGAAAAGTATTTTTTGCAGGGAAAAGTGTGTAACCTTGTTGTAATAAACCAAAATGACATTCGGTTTTGACTGTCATCATTTATCAGTCATTGCATGTCAAACTAAATGTAGTGCCCTGTCAATCTCAAACAAACTTATCAGCGGAGAGGATGGGTAGATTTATTGGAATAAAGCATAACTTTTCATGCTTAACAGCTGCTGGCTGTATACCTGATATGAGAGTGGTCTAAATCTTCTTATCTAACTCTCGGCAAAAAAGTGAATACAGGTATTTCCCAAAATGTCAAGCTGTTTCATAACTGATTCTCATTTTTGGCTTAATTTTTAAAGGTCTAAAGTGCATGAACCCAGATCTGGGTAGCTTCATCACTCTTCAGAAACCTTTAAAAGAGGCAAATATTTACTCAGCTGACGGTCAATCATAAACTAGGCTCACAAACACACAGATTGTGGTCCCATTAATTTAATGGTTGTTGCTGACTGTGCGTATCGCTCTGCTGGGACGGCCTTCCGGGTGTCTTTTGCAGGTAGACATCTGTGATAATTCTCTGTGCCGCAGAGTCATTTGTCATGTACGGGACAGAGGGGATAGAGGTGTGTGCAGCCTGAGAGTCAAGTTGTTTATCTCATCACCCAACCTTCAGACGGAGGCACGGTTGGAGGTTAGAGGTGAAATAAAAACGCCACCCACACAAGATACAGCACTGAAATAATAACGTCCAAATCCTGTGATGTTTGGGAATCGTGCCATCAGGCCTAATATTTACCGTAAGTCTTCATCCATGGCCAAACATCCGTCTGTCCTTATGGGCCCTTTACAATTCAGCAAGTCATTCAGGGACTTCTGAAATGCTTCACCTCCCAAAACACAGACACACCCTATACATCCTGTTCTTCACAAATCATCAGTGCGTCCTGACTCCTGACCATAGACTGTATATATAAAGGTCCTGACACAGGATGCAGCACTTTAGCTTTATCATCACACCGCCTTTCTCTTGGTGAAGTGCCCCCACTTCTGGTGAGTGGTGAAACTGCAGGGTAATAAAATCCAGGACCCTTGATTGGTAGAACCAACGAAGCAGACTTAAAATTAATTAAAAATCCCAATTTTGAAATGAAGAATGATGAAATTGGATGTCAGGGCGGATTAGGTTTGAGAGTTACTCATATCAACTCTGGAGATATGCACATTACTATGAGAATGAAACTAAACTAAAAGGAGGTTTTAGGAAGTCCTTTGCTGGTATTTTACTTTAAATAATATTTTATTGTTAATTAAAAGTTATGTGTGTGATATTTTTGGTTTATCAGCCTCCTCTTAATGTATAGGAAATTAATTGTTAGACTGATCTTGATCTTAATGAGACTGCCTTGTGTATGATAATGCCTCTTCACTGAATGTTAAACCCATGTCCTGTTTTGATTATAAAGCCACAGCCTGTCACTCAAAAATGTGGGTTGCTGCATGAATAAATACAAAAAGTCAATGCAGCTTATCTGTAGTTCAGCTGGACCTTAACCACTACTTAAGTATTCTGCAACAGTCCCTTTACAGAAAAGCACAGCAGAAAATAACATTTTTTTGTGTAAAATGCCAAATGTGTCAACACCTTTTGGCGAGAAAAGGTCTTTTTTCAGAGAGCACATGAACATCCTTGATATATATATAAAAAATGGGCCAACCAGAAACCTCAAAGCTGCAACAAAAACAGCTCAGAAAATCTAACGCAAGGAGCTCAGACTCCTTTTCCACAATTGCTCCTTGAATAGCTTTTAGGGGTCAAGGTGTTTCGTGTGTAGCTAATCATCATTACCCGATCAAGTCAACCTGCAGAGATGAAAATAGTGAAAACTATCAAATGCCATTTGTAAATGTGTCTGTATTCATTTTGCAGATTACAGCTTTCAGTCAAAACAACCTTTAATTAAGAGAGAGATGAAACCATAAATGGAAAATATATGTAGCTTTCACCTAATCAGCTGAATGAGACACACCTGGCTATCGGCCCTGTTTGTATGCAGGCGGCTATATTCATTTATTTAAAAAAAGGTGATTCAGAGTTGTATTAAAGCTGACACTTATTTGCAGTTGGTATTTATTTTAATTCAAACCATTTGTAGCTGCTTTGGTAATTAAGATAAGGTGTTGCTGGTGCATCAATATTTTAGTTTGCTAAATTGAAAAATGTAGCAAGGGAGAATAAACATGACAGGTATAACCTCTTCTCCGACTGAAATACTTTTGAAGAGATGTGCCTTACAATTACCTCGGAAATAATTGAATGTACATTTCTGACAGCCATAAATAATAGTAATACCCATCCCAAAAACATTTCTCTTCCTTTGATGGCAGTGGTTGACATTTCATATCTATATATGGTTTCATATCTGCATATAATATTTGTTAATGTGCCTTTACATGGATAATGTAACTGTCAAGGATTCAGTCATTTGATTTTATTTCATCACATTTCTGCTGTGCTAACGTGTCTAAACCTGTCTTTAAATGACACATGAGAGACTTTAAAATGTATTTATATTGATTCCTTTACAGTATGTCTTTTATTTTATGGTAGTTTCAATGTTTTCTGTTTAAGAAAGAGAGAAATCAAATCAAACTTAAACAGACATCTGTAAGATGCATGGCCATCATTTAATCGCACCGGTGTAGTTACACAAAGTGCTCCACTAATTCAGTTTGTCACATTGCTTTCCAACAACCCTCGGGGGAAAAGTCAACTCATTCTTATTTTACTTCTTATTTCCTTCAAGGCTGATTTAATGGTCTCACAGATGTGTAGTGTGGCAATGCGCTCTGCTCTTCTGTTTAGCTCGACATATGTGAGGTCCAGGTGGCTGGAGGAAATATTGGATTCAAACAGCTGGTGTCACACACAACACCATTTGTTTTAGTCCTGCCTTACAAGACATCAATCAGTAAGACAACAACAACACCACTGAAGATGCAATTCACTGCTGGAAAGCTACAGTTACAGCTAAAGAACGCTAACTGAATCACAGAGTAAAGTATGAGGCTCTAACAAAGCCGAAGGACAGTGAATATTGACCTAAATTCACCATGTAGTCATACATCCAACACCAAATGAATGCTATTATTGCTCAGTGTCTGCAGGATGTGTACATGGGCAACATTTTCGCCTTATCAAGTATTTAGGGAATATTATGTTCTGTTTAAAGCTTTTTCTGTTGCCCCCATGTGACCAAGAATCAGATAATACTCTCTAAGTTGTTGATCTAGATTCAGGGTTAGAGTTATAATCAAGCGTATCCCAATGCCTGCTTGTTGAGTTGGAAACTGTTTAAAATGTGTTGGACAGAGTCAGAGAATTGGTCAAAAGTCCCATTGTGTGTTTTATTAACAAAGCAATGCCTGTTATGTTACATGTGATTAAGTGTTGTTTTAACTTTTAACAGTTGGTTTGGTGACACTCGTACAACATCACAGTTAGTGACAAAATGGCGTCAGCTGCACTGAGGCCCGCAGAGAGACGCCTCTTTGACAGTGGCTCTGCGTTACTTAAGTGATGTACAGAAATTAACACCATCATTGTGTCAGTTTTGTAGCTGGGTGCATGGGGACCAAGCTGTTTATTACAGTTAGGAAGTTTACATAATCAGTGTTGAGACCCACCCAGCAGAACATCTGGTTTATGTTTTTAATGATAGGAAGTGTTGCTGCTCAGAAATGATTGTTTACTCTTTGTTGTTCTCTCTCTCATTACGCTGTGCTGAAGCGTAATGCATCCCTAGTTTCATGCAAATTTTCATGAAAAACCCTGGTTCGATACAGCTTCAATTAAAGTGGACCTATCATGCTATATTTGAATAATATAGTGTAGGACCTATATAAGGCATATTTATACTTTTTTCTTTTTCAAAATACCAAACAGATCATGCATTTTAGCCATGCCTCATTTCGCTCAATTTGACAATTTCTAGCTCTGTTTGTGCAGGGGCAGATTCTGTGAGAACAGCACCATCTACTGGCCTGGCATATGTACTACAGCGTCTCCAGCGCTTTCGAACGGCAATGGCCGTGGCTGTCTCCTCCTGATTGGTGGAGTTGGCCCAATAGCCATAGTGCCACTGTCCAGACGTCAGGACAGTGTTCAAATCTGGATCAGTTTTTATCAGATCCGTTGCAGCCCCTTTTTTAGAGATTTGGGTATGGAGGAAAATAGAGAGGGTTGTGTTTTCTGACACTTGGTGAGTTCCCTGGAACACCGGGGAAACATATTCATGTATAAAAGACGTACAAAAGTGCATTTTGCATGATAGGTCCCCTTTAAGTTAACCCCACAATGTGTAGTTTTAGGGGTGGGGGGTTTCTAGGGATCAGTTAAACATAACAAAAGAAGGAGCCGTCTTCACACGCGTTTGCTGTCTCTCCTTTATTCATGTTGTTCAATGTCTGCTCAGCTGGTTTCTCTTAACGTTTAATATACAGTAGTTTAGGAGGTTTAAACATTTAACCAGAGGTATAACTGGTAAAATAGTCAATATATGAAAGCTTCTTACAGACAACCACAGCACTGGCGCAGAGGTGATACGGTACATAATGTTTTCCTCTAAGTTAGAGCCTTTGTTGTGAACATTTTGGATAACCAACACAAACTCAAACTATTCTCAAAGCAGACTGTATTTGGTGTGCAGTGGATGCACACTAGTTTACAATAGAACAATTAAATATAATAGAAAATAAATATTACATATTAGGTAAAACGATATCTATTTTGTTAAAACTTATAGTAACATTTCAAAGTTTGACAACTGACTACCTAAATATTTTTCTTTTGTTATATAGCTGTTAAGTATGTAGATATCTGTGTATACTAAGTGCTTAAAAAGTACACTATGACACTAGTATGACAAAACTCAATGTGCGTGTTTGAAATTGTGAAAGGTGTACATGAATGTGCTGCTATTGATGGCATTCCTTAATATTTGTCTACTTTTTGATATTTAAAAATCTCCAGCAATTCCACTTGATACATACAAAAATATTGTTTGTATTTCTAACACTATTGCACCAAGACAACCAAGGTAAAGCAAAGCATTTTATTGCAAGTATTAGTCAAAGATACACTTCAAACTGAAGCAAAGCAACACTAAAAGGCCAACAACCTATAAGAGAGAGTTACAAACAAAAGAGACATTTAAAACTGAGAGGAATATAGCTGTTGGTTCAACAGAGCCTTTGCAACACACAGAGACATGGATCATCTGGCTGTAAAGGTTTACATCCGTTTGCTGGTGCATCACTCAGAGGTATCAAGAGTCCTAAGATATTGAGTTTGAAATAAGACAGACACAAGAGTGATGCTACATTGAAAAAAATCTGAACAACCAGCGTACACACACCCCTGGCCACTGTCAAATATCTGTTTTCAAAACCATTTAGTGTATATGAGGGGAAAACCGCACCAGAAGCCTAATCTCTTATGCAATATTTGGTTCAAGGTTATTTTTGGAATGCTAATGGGATGAAAACAGGTCAAATATCTGACAGCCATGGGTGTAAATATGAGAGTAAACTAATTAAACCAAGATGATTTGGTTTAAAGGCCTATTCACTTTAGGATAGGATTGACAACACTCCATGACTTTGATCCCTTTAATGGGATGAGGAACAAAAACAAAGAAACTAAAACAGAAATGAATCACAACGCGGTTCATTCTTGGTTCGTTATACAGGCACAGGTCTCTGAAATCCAGGCCCGGGTCAAACTGCATCTGAAAATGTTGTTCTTTGGATTTGCCATCAAGGACATTACAATGATAACCAATAAGCTTGCAGGGTCAGGGTGTATAAAAGTCAATTCAGCAAAATGGTTTCATTTCATTCAGTTATTAGGATAGTCCTGAGGCGGTAAGCACTGCTCATCATGTTGCCAATAAGTCTTTCAAATGCCGTTTGACCCGGACCTTGTTTTGGTCTGACATCAGTACAAATGGGACAGAGAAATCTGTGAAAGCTTGTTTGTACATCAGCAATGTTAGTGGTTTACATGAGAAATTAGAAGAAATTAGGATGTAGGGCGGGGAATCGGGGCAGATCAAGTACGTAGGCTTGGTTTCTCTGTAGGCAACCCAACACAGGCATCATAAAGTCACATGGAAATCTGACAACTAACGCACTTAAGGCTGAGGCATGTGTTTCTGTGTGGAATGAGACCTGTCCCGGCTGGAAAATGTTCTGGCACGAGGGAAAACAACATGAAAACAGACAATATAAGGGAATGAGTGACGCCAAAATGTTCACCATGATCCAAAGAATCCTGCCTTGCCAACATCTGTTCTTCCTCTCCCCGCTGCTGCTTTAAATTTTACGCTTTCCCACCAGCCCTTTTTACAGGATCAGGGAATTTACATGGCTAACGTACCAATTAACAGCTCGAGATGGAAGAAAGGCGGCTATTAAGCACTCGGCGCGGTTCAGAAATGGCTACCCTTTGTCAGAGATGAGCTGTGGGGGTTGGCATTTCAGGTGGTGAAAAAAAGAGGAGGGTAAAGAATATTTAGGAAAGGAGGAGGGAAAGTTGACCTATAAATATCATCAGGTCCTCCACCTCCCACCCCCCTCCATATTATTGTGCTTGCGTGTCTCGGAGAATAAGGGGTCAACGTGGAGGGGGCGGGGCTAAAGGCCTCATCCTCCTGGCCCCGCCCCCACCACGCTGCAATATGATGCGGAGACTCCAGCCGCTTGAATGCACTCTCAATAAATACACCATAAAATATTCCGCATATATATATATATATTTCATATATACATTTAAAGAACAACACATTTAAATAGGACAACAAAATAAAAGTCGGCTCAAGAACAATTTCTCAAAAACGGGATAAGTGTTAAGACAAAAAACAGAGAATATTTTTTACAGTTATACTTATTTTGATTCTAAAATAGTTACCGTATAAGAATATCAGGCATTACTCAAGCATTATATGTCATAATAAAAGCAATTTGCAGTTTTCTTTCATGTAGTATAACATATGCAGCATACCAAGGTAAGTGAGGTGCAGTGTTTGTTTTCTTAGATCTCTTGTAATAGAAAGATTTCACCCCCCCTGGACTGAAAAGGTACCCAAAGAACTACAGACCACCCTGTTTTTATTCAACACCCTACCGGCTCAAGACAGGGTTACTGCTGGGCACACACGCTCTCCATCAGGGACACATGGCAGGGCACTAAGATGGACGCCATTGGCTGCTGCTAGGGCTGGGCGTCGCTTCAATACTGACACTGGTTGTGTTAATTCCATCTCTATAAGCTGCTGTAAAATGACACTTGGTTAAAAGCATACTTCAATATGCAAACTATTATCAGTCTTTCATGCTTTCTTAAGAAGTTTTCTATCCCACTTATGTTGCGTTTCTTAGTAAAAATGCCCTTCGAGAAGAAAACCTTTATATTTCAGTGCAAAAGTCTATTGTAAAAACCTTCTTTTTTTTCTGTTTGAGATGCTTCAAAATGGTCGATGCCAAACTCTAGGAGGTAAGTGAGATTGTGTTTTGACACCCAGCCCTAGCTGTAACAAAGAGTCGACTCCAGAGAGAATACAACCACCCGAGTCGCGAGAGCATGAGGCACACTTAATGACCGACTGCCCTGTTTGGTACCACACGTTCCTTCAACTCCTTCACACTGAGGTTTGGATCCGAGGAGGACGAAGGCGACTGGAGGGACAGAGATTGGAACCTCTTGGCTATGTGTCTGAGTGAGAGTGGCAGTCTCTAAAGTGCTGTGCTCTGTTTGTCATACGTGGGTTAGGCTGTGTCACTATGCTATCGTCAGCTATCCACCCCAAAAACACACCTTCCACTGTACCAACGACACCATTGGTCCAAGACACTAAATGCAATAGGAAGCGAAAGCTCAACCACAACCATATACTTGGCATATATTCTACTTCTATTGAGGCGTAATGTCTAAATACAGGAAACACAAGTTTGCATTGCCATTTCTAAAGGAAATAAATGTGTACAGTATGTGTGTAAATGCAGCTGTTCCTGCACTGCAGTATGTTCAAGGAGATGTCTTTGAATTTTTACATTTTATCTTTCCATTTACAGCACCATCAAGAGGAAAGGCACTTTCTGTGGACTTGTTCTCGCTCCATTGCTACCTTTCACTGCAAATAGAGAGCGACCAAAATCAGGGACAAAGATGGATTACTAGAAATGGAACACTTCCATTTAAAAAGGTGACATTGACCTTCATTTTGCCGTTTTTTCTTCATCAGACAGCCTTCGTTTAGTAGGTGTAAGACGTTTTCCAGCTTCCAGAAAAAGACTGTATTATTAGGAATCCTAATCAGAGAGCCAAAGGCCACAGCTGGCTTTAGGCTGGGTGTAGCCTCTCATTTCAATCAAGTCATTTTAATAGAAACAAACAAGACTACACCCCCTTCTCTGTAACACAAATGTCTGCTGAGGACAAATTGGCCAAATAAACAATGTCTTCGTATCCCTTCCAGCGTTCACTTCCACAGGCTCCGTCCGGCCTTGCTCATGTTAGGTCACTTCTCTACTAGCTGATATTTGCAAAGCAGAGCTGATGACATTTCAGTTTGTAAGCGAGGCAAACACATCTGCTATGTAAACATGTGTTCAACTGCCCTCCAGAGAGTAGATAATACACAAACTGAACATCCATTACCAGCGGCAGAGATAGTGAGTTATAAATGGACTCAAATGATACCTCCAACAAAACCTGCCACAAACGTATCGCTGATCAGCTTTAATTCCGTCTAAATCACACATCTTTAAATTAAAAACTGAATCTGCTATATCTTACAGAGCTCTAATCTTCCTCGTGCCTCCCAGCGGTACAGGATGGGATTGTACGGCCGTGGATTTTAGTCCTCTGGCGAAGGGGAGTAAATGTTCGAGAGCAAAAAAGGGGAAAAGAGCAGCAATAAGATTACAGGCTTTGTCACTCCAGACTTACCGGCAGGGTAACTCATGAAGTGGCTCGGGTAAGGAGAGTAAAGCAACAGAGGTGGCAATCCCACGTAAATCCCTCCAAGCTTTAACACAAAAGAAATGGAGAACCACTACCACTTGTTACGTTTGTCTTTGATCACACGTGTCCTTGAAATGGATCAACAACACTTTCAGAACCACATTTTCTTTTCACTCGTTTTCCTGATAAGGAGCAGGCGTCAGCACCAGTTGAAGAAAAAACCTTAAAAAAACCATTCAAGAGCAGAAACTCTGAAGCTTAATACAACCGACTCTTAGTCTATTTTACCCTTTGTCACCACAAAAGGGATTTAACGTCTTAATACAAAGCCTTTAAGAGTACAGTATGGAATATGTTCTCTCCTCTACAAGAAACCTCTGACTGTACGAGATCTACAAAAAAAAGGGAAAGAAATAGGCATTCAACATCCAAACATCGAAGCAAGAGGCGGTTTAAAGTCCCCATCCCTATCAATAACAGTATGACAGTCCAAACACACGTCACTAGTTTCAACAAACCCACCACTGTTCACATATAAACTATACGTCATACAGTGACACAGGAACAAGTCAACAGTCTATTGCAATACTTTGTTATTATACCTTTTTTTAACCATTACTTTTCATAATACATGTATTACTAAGATTAATAATTAGACTACATTTGTTTCCGTTAGCAAAAATAAGTGGTGTGCATTACATCATTTAAAATGTACAAATATACTTTTGATCTGGCTTTGAAAAAGGCTTTCACTACATGATTCTAGTGAAATGATGAAGGCTCAAACCCACTGGCTTCCTCACTGGAAGGCTAGCCTATGAAAGGCAGTCAGAAGGACTAACAATACACCTCCGAGGGAACGTCCGCCATCGTACCGTTACAGGTTTTCAACACTACCGATTGACATCCTCAAACCATAGCAGTGGGATTTTCTCCTGTCCTAAAGTGAGTGAGGTCTACTGTTCCTTTTTCTACTTCCCTTCCCACCTGCTCATCCAGAGTCTCATTCAGATTCTAATTCAGACAGAGTAGCACCAGGCCTGTGTTCACTCCCCAAACACAGCTTCTTTTAAGTGCAGTTAGCTTTTAAAAACACCCCCGAGACGAGCTTTCAGTGGCACAGAGGAGCTAAGCTGTGACCCAAATCAACAAACAGCAGGACTTTTGCTGCAAATATTGGTCACCAACCGAACTCCTCTGCAGCAAGTCACCACTTTGGGCCCGGTTGCATGGACAGGAATTACATTACAAGTCCGGCAGAATTTATTGTAGGATCTGGTTTATGAAGAGTTTGACTCGAGGTACAAACACACTGTAGCAGCTGGATACATGTCAGGTGAAGTTTAAGCACAAAGACAGCAAGGCTCGCTCAAACACTGCTTCAAAGCAACGCCAACAGCTAGCTAACACTGCTGTGTAGGCAAACATAATAAATACATTGATCTTAGGATGATTAGAATGAGATGTATAGAAAAGTCAGGAGAACAAGAGGCATCGGGTGAAACCTTCTTATGCTGTCCATTTGTTGGAATATGCTATCTGATTATTTAACCAACTGAAGTATGATCCCTATAACAAGTTTGAATATTTCACTTCCACCAGGCACTTGAATACTACCTCTTTATGGCCTTTACACTCCTCTTTGCTGCCTTAGAAAATCAGCCTCATTAGCAAACTGATGATCAGGAATTATGAAATGATGATCATCTCAAACCACGGAGGCATCAAATCCTTCAATTCAAGTAAAAACATGAAACTGCAGTTGCACCATTTTTGCCCAACGTCAAGGGCAAACTCTAAGAACATGCTGATCAACTGTCTCAATGAGGAGCCATACATACGTGCCTCACGAGTGGCAAACCGTTCTCCTTTTGAGGACACTCACTTTCAAATGAACTGCTCTTATGTATCATTTACGTCCTCTTAGAGCCACGTCCCTTAGTTCAGCTATTTATTGCACTAGAGGAAACCATTGATGTGATCTCAAACTCAAGAGAGGGAAATGTGAGATAAAGCACTGAGAGCATGAATGCATGATGAATACTCTGATTAAAAACACAAGCTTACATGATTAAAATGATTTAAAAAAAAGTCGTAATAATAAAATGTTTCACATAATGTAGAAGAAAAATAAAAATCAGAATCAAATAACAGTGTTATACTTTAAATAAAAATCCATAGATGGCTGCAATTTAAATATCAGCCAATAGAAACTGTCAGTTTAAATGTGACAGCTGACTGCTAAAGATAAATCCAAACTCATCGGAAACCTTGTAAGACAACAACTCAATGTTGTGACTTTAAAGGGGCATTTATACCTCGTGGCCAACAGGTGGCAGTGTGTTGTGCTCAACAACTAAAAAAGAAACTGGTGATTTCACACAGGAATGAAAAGTGACAGATCAGAGGGAAACAAGAGGAGAAAGGAAAAATAACTGGCGCAACTGGGAGGACTTCTGGTCCAAAGTAAATCACCACCAACAACGCTGACCCTTCCTTTCTCCGCTTCCTCTTTTGTAATATTAAAACAGAATGTAAAAGTGCTGCTGCTTAAACTGACTTGAGGTATTGTAGATGGCAAAGGAGAAGATTTAAGGAAAGACTGTGCTAAAGGAAGGGAAAAGGACCCACAAGGCCACAAGTAAAGGAGACAAACCGGGGAAAAGAGGGGCGCTGAGAAGGGGGTTTGATGGAGGAGAAAATAAACTAGTTGGCTTGTTCAATATTGCATAATAGTGCTGAGTTTCTCTTGTTTGTTTTTAAAGCAGCTTTTGCATCCTCAGTCCAGTGTGGGGGTGCCTCCTCCCCTCCCTCCTCCCTCCTCTCCTCTGCACAGTGTCAGGTCTGGATTGACTAGGCGTTTAGGGGGGGGTTGGGGGCGGGACTTGCACATCTGAAGACTCCTCGACTGGTGAGCCAGGTGTGCATGGTTGTGTCTGTGTGTGTGTGTAAAGGGGGGGGGGGGGGGTCGATGGTGGTGATGGTAGGTGTAGCTCAGGCGAAGTACATGGTCCTCAGGGTGTCGTGGTGAATCTGAACGGCTTTGGCCAGCGCCTGGGGGTCCCGACCGTTACTCTGCCCGGACACATGGCTGCCCTCAGCGCTGCAGGAGGAGGAGAGGAACAGTTACGATGGATAACGTACAAAAATGGCATGCATGCAGGACCATTGAGAATACTTTGAAAGTCTTACAATACTGTTATTAAAACGCATTAAATAAATGGTAATCAAAATTTGGCGAGGGGCCGTTTATCTGCATGTAATGCCCCAACATTCCTGCTTTAAAATTGGCAAGTTTCCCTTTGTGAACAAGTAGAAAACAAGTCAAAAATGATGTAATTATGTAACCGTTTCCCCTTCCTTTCTCTTAATTACTCCTGTCTTCTACACTCTTAACATGTTGCAATGTTTTAATAGGCAGACATTTATTTTATTACTTATTTTATTTAAATGGCAACTTGGATTCCCGAGGAGTTGAGCTACTGACTTAACTCATATTCCCTTTGGTTTTTTTAAATCATGCTTGCGTAACGAGATTGCATAATTTTATTGTGCTTAGTAATACAATGATAAGATCAAATAAACTTGATTTAAATGGTCAAATAGATGTTTTTGAGGAAAATTAAGAAAAATTCTATGGATTAGTCGACAGAAAGATAGTTGTTAGTGGCAGCTTTTGTTAATAAAAGTATCAGTGTAGAGTCCAACATCTTTTCATCCAGCCTGTTCGTGTTTACTCTCTCTCTCTTCCTCACCTGTCATGTTCTTTGTCCACCAGATGGTAGCGGGCACGGAAGGCCACCAGGTGGGCGTAGTAGGCGGGCGCAGGGATGGAGACGGAGCGGGTGCAGCGCACGTAGGTGTGGCACAACTGGTATGTGAGCAGCTGGAACTCGTCAGCGGTGAAACAATTGTCGTCCCACAGAACATGGTAGTGGGAGGGCCGACTGGTGCCCTGGGGGAAGGATGAAAGGACACATTTTTAGATTCACATTTAAGATAACATATGTTTACTGTGTAACTACAACGAGAAACAAACAAGTGGTCAAATCTAACAACTAAAATAAAACAATTTAACCTTTGAAAATCTTATACATATATAAAGTGTTTGTATAGAGATGCAAAAAACCAACTATAATGTACACCAGGGCTATTCAATTAGTTTGGAATGATATCATATTAAGAGCTTCAGATACAGTAAATACTACAACAGCATAGTGGAGTGCATATATTGTGTTTAATTCAATCTAACAACATAGCCCCAAGGCCTTTATAGGTCTAATGGCGCGTTTCCACTACAGCGCGGAGCACGGTTTAAGAGGGCTGTGACGTCAGCGGCCCGTCTTTGGTTGCGTTTCCACTTGGCCTAGTACCGGCCGGCGGGTACTAATTCACAGTTTTTCTGGCCTCATAAAATCGCGGGTCTAGGGCCAGAGACAACGAGGCTGAGTCGGGCTGAGTATGCTAAACTAGAGAGAGAATCGCTGGCAAGGGGGCTACAATTACAACAAGATGGACATATTTGACCGTGATTTAATTGTAATACACGTTTCAAAATGATGCCGAAGTAACAACATACTGATACCGGTTAGTAAAAACCATGAATTAATGCTTTGTCAAGTCTGCAGACAGACGGCAGGCGAAAAACCTTTTAAAATGCGTGTGTTCTAAATGGAGATTGGCTAAGCTAACGCAGTATATGCTCCGACCGTCCACACTCACAACAACGGCCTATACAGACATAAATAAAGCAGCGACTGTATTCACCATGACACAGGCAGTCTGTGGTTTGTACTTGTTTAACTGTTGTCTAGTTTCTGAACATATATGAGGAGCTGTGAGCTCTGAGTGCTAACAGCTAACGGCTGTGTTGTTTTTCTGGGGTTCTCTGAAGATCACGTCACGGCTCCGCCTACACTGCGTTACTATAGATACTGCCCCAGTTCCTAAACTGTAATGGAAATGCGCCATAAAGTGAGCCAGTCCTAACGAGGCCCAGCCATACCGAGCGGGGCCGAGCGAGGCCGTGTAGTGGAAACGCGCCATTAATGGCAAGTTCAGAACTCAGTAGGCCTACATGTGAAGCTAATTTAACCATCAACATCATTTAATCTGATTTAATTTAGGGGAAATGATCTAATTATTCATGCAGAGATGCAATAAATGACAGTTTGTCACTACAGTAACTAGTAGGTGGGTTCGAAACCCGAGCCCGCCAAAGTTTTCAGGCATTGTCTTCCCCTCTATCTCTCAATGTAAGACCCTCTCTGGAATAAAGGCACTCTGGCCCAAAAAAAAAAAAAAGAATCTTAAAGGAAAAAAAAAGTATATTTTTTAACATTATACTCAAAGGGCCAGTAAATATCACCCCAAGGCCGGATTTGTCCCGCGGGCCGCCAATTGAATAGCCCTGATGTCCACCAATGTAAACAGAGCAGTTTAATATGGATTAGAATAAAAACAGCACAATGATGGTTTAGGATTTAAAGATGAAAACAGCCTGCTGCAGAAACTCACTGACCTTCTAATTTTCACTCCTGGGAATCTAACTTCAAGAAATAACAGGAAAGGGAAAAACGAGAAGTATTTCCTCTTTTTTCTCCTGTGGCCATTTCATTTCTGAGTCCTCTATCTAATCGTTTTGCAAGAATGCATAGATGGCAGAAGCACAAAGTGTTTAGCCTTCAGATTTAAGTGAAGGAGAGGGTGATGAAACCTTGCTGTGCAGAGAGGACAGGACATTGTCTGACCTGTATTCCAGCGTGACTGCAGAGGTAAAAGTCAAACTCGTAGGGATGTGTGATGTCCGTGTCCACGGTGGTACCAGCAGGAATGTTTCCACTACGTCCGACCTGATAAAAGCAGAGGAAAGGTTAGTAAGTCTCTACTAATGCCCTTTGACTGTGTTTTTCTCATAATTTCACAGTGAAAACCAAAACAACAGAAAATGGATGATGTAGAAAAAGTCACGGAAAACAAGGCTTTTAAAGCACTGCATTAAAAATAATGTCATCATTGAAAAGAGAACTAGTTGATGGACCGAGCCAGGCAAAGGATTACCAAGTGCCTCACAATCAACTAATTAAAAGCCTAATGCTCTAAAGAGCCTGAAAATAAGGTTGTTACTAGCAGAGTCTTACTCTAGGGGCCTTGAGTGCCACTCCAGAGCTCTCGGTTTGAAATGGGCCCTAATGTTTTAATCGAATGCAATTACAGGGGTTAGGAGGGTGAACGGGCCAATTGACAACAAAAGGTAATTAAGGAGGCCCATTTTGAGTGCTTAACGTGCAAGCACAGGGCATAAAAAAAGAAAATATGGACTACCAGATAACATCCTGTACTGACTTTAATGGGTCATACTTAAAGAGAGTGAGAGTGTGTGTGCCTGTGTGTTTAGGTAGGTCGTGGGGACTCACTCTCTCATTGCGGTCGGCGCAGAAGAGGCGCGTGTGGTGGCGTTTTTGCACAACAATGTATGTGATGCCAGGCTGGTACTCCTTCTCCAGGGCGATACAGGCCTCACGAATAGCCAGCAGCTCATAATACAGCACCTGAGGAGAAGAGAGGGGAAACATGTTCATAAAAACAACCCCTGTCACCCGTTATTTATTCTTTCAATGACTGTACAGTCCATTTTTCATCCACATATTGATTATATCAATGTTTCACTGTGTTTAGTTATAATCCTACTGTGCAAACAATCATAGTTTAAATAGAAGAAAATACCATTGTAAAAATGTTTCTCAAGTAATCATCTGTGATAAATAATTATTTTGGAATATGCACGTATGAAGTGAACAACCAGTAAGAGCCAAAAACTACCAAAACACATGTCTCCATCTAACTTATGACTTGTAAAAGGGAATCCTGCAACAAACTCAGAATTTCGGCTGGTGTTGAATTCCAACCCTGACCCTTTAGTTCTGATGAACTAAAGAGTTCTGATGAACTTGGTACTTGGTGTGAAAGCGCCTACTTTGCCGTACTTAGTGAACTAAAGAGCAGATCGCGTTCACACCATAGACTGTATATATAGGTTCACACCAGAATAAGTTCCCTGAGGGAGGATTAGGCAAATGAAGCCGCTGACGTCACTTCTTCTTCTTCTGCGTTGGGTTTACTGGCAGGCCGCAAACAACTTCACGGCGTATACTGCCACCCGAAGTCCCCGGCCGGAAGTCCCCGGAGTTGGGGACTGGCTTCCAGAAACGCCGACACCTCCTCATCTCCACCGCTCCCATGTTTTATTTTGTGTTGCCATAAGTTAGTCTCTCTCCGTTGGTGCGCTGGGCTAATGCTAATGCTAATAATGCTAATGCGAGCAAATAAAATAGCGGCTTCACAAAACTTTTTGGGAGTTTTACGGGGCGTGGTTTGCAATCCGCCCAGCCAATCAGAAATGGGAACCTTTTTCTCCCATGAAAGTACCTGCTCTCTAGCAGGGACTGAAAAAGGGGGTAAAAAGGTTCCCATGAACTAAGTTCTAGTTCCGGATTTTTTTGGTGTGAATGCAAATTTTCGGAACTATATCGGAACTATACTGGGAAAAGTACTCCGGTGTGAAAGCGCCTATTGAAGAGAACTGAGAGAGACAGTGGGAGCTGACCTGTCTGAACTGGCCTTCTGAAACCCCATCCCTGTAGAAAATGATCCTGGTGGGCTTGTAGCGAGTGGACTTGTAGAACTGGATGAGCAGCTCCCGCACCATGGAGGCCAGGTCCTGGATCACCTCCTGCCTGGGCCTCTGGACTCGCACTGTGGCACAGTATCTGCTGGGGTGAGCGTCCATACTGGCTACCACCTGGAAGAGAGGGGGGTTGGTGACGGATTGCAGGGGGTCAATCAAGAGTAAATCAATTCAAGCTCAGGTGGAAATTAGAGATAAAAACTCACTGCTGCGATTGAAGGCTTCTTCCCATCTCCAGCAGGAGGGTGTGTGACATCTGCTCCCAGGAAGATAACTGGCTGCTGAAACACTGATGGGCTGTTGATAGAGAAACATATCGAAGACATTCATTCAAATGAGTTATAGGACAATATTTAGAGTGTTTCTTTGCATGGTAAAGTCATCTATTACTATGGTGTGTGTGGGTTTTTCTTTCAGGTGTCTACAAATATCAGACAATTTACCAAGCTCCATGACATTATTTAAAGACTGCATCACTACCGTAGAGCACGCTTTATTTGAGGATAAAACAGAGCATGACTGACCGTTGGTGAGGCACCAGGATGTTGTTGATGCCTCCCAGCTTCACGTTGATCTTGAGGCAGAGGTTAGAGAGGGTCTGAGGAGACGTCTTCACCACGTTCTTCACCTGGACGCACTGCGTGGCCATGCCCAGGAGGGTGTCCCCAACGCGCTTTACCTCCGCTGTGGGTGGGTTCAAAGAGTGGGCATCAGAAACAAAAGCAGTTTTAAAAGAATGTCCTTCTTGCAAAAGTAGCAACAATGTTGATATTAGTGCAAGAAAATGGAGAGTCAGGGAGGCTCATGATTATAGTTAAATATTAAAGATATGAGGGAGAAGTCACCTGGGAACACTGCAGGATTTATGAATAAAAAAGGGTATGTGCAGTCAGAGAAAAATATACAAAGACAGAAATAATATAATATATAATGTGGAAGGAAAATATGTTTTATAGAGCGTCAAGTACACTTCTCAATATGGCTCTGTCGCTGCATCAGCACTCCTAGAATTGCATTAGTTTTTCCACACAGTCCTAACCACAAGCATATCTCTGGGCTCTGATAGAATATTTATTTTCAGCAGTTTTCTGACCATAGACAGGAGTTTTTCCGGGCAGAATGACGATGATGAGCTGCAGTCCGGCGTATGTGTTCTTCAGGTGTCTGAACATGGGCTCCACGCTGTCCGCTCCCTGGGCGTATTTACAGAAACATGGCTGACCCTGGATGGGCATCCCAGCATCCTTAGAGATTTTACGCAGCTGGTCTGTGAAACCCCTACAGGAGGAGGAAGAAGCAGGAGGTCAGAGTGGAGAGTGAACTGAGTGAAAGTAAAAACACTAGCTTGGGTCTGTTCGTTGGACAAAATATGAATGAGCACATGCAGAAATGTTGTCAGCACAAAATAAAATATGGTTCTTTGTTTAATAGCAAATGGTGTACCAATGATGTTTGACATAATAAAGTTTTCTTAAGTAAAGTTTAACATTTTGAAATGTTTTTCTACCATTTTTTAAGCGCATAATTGCAATTTCCATGCAGCATAAGGCCGTTTGCAGTTTTTACAGTACGGATGTTTTTAATCTAGCCAGGGACTATCAATGAAAACTACTCTTTTATCAAATCTGGTACTGTAACTGTTATTTGAGCACTGTCCTTTTGTTATTACCTAGTTAAGATATACTAATAATAATAATAAAGGAATGTAAGGCTGTGCAGCTGCTGATTGAAGACATGCTCCCATTCTTTAATTTATCATTTGAAACAGAATATAGAAAATGATGCTAGATTGCAATCTCTTAAAGGTAGGGTAGGTAAGAATGGAGAAACCAACTCGAGTGCGCTAGAACTTGAAAGTACACAACCGGAAAAAATCTGCCTCTTCCTTCAGACTTCCTTACAGAGCCACTCCTCCAACACACACGAACGCGCACATGACCAATGAGGGCACGAGATAAGTTTGTGCACAGATGGAAGGCTGACAGGCAGGTAGGCCATCCAGTTATTTTAGCCGGGCCGGCTCAGATGATTGGTCGTGCTTTTTACAGCGCCTCGGCTTCCACAGATGACATTTTTTAATGTATTTATTGTCAAAGCATTTAATGTATTCATTGCTATCGGGATGTTAAGAGCATTCCATGGAATATAACAAAAAGTGTTTCTGAAGTGAATCACCTACCCCACCTTTAAGACAAAAATACACACACAAAATAAACGATTACATTAAGATTAATGAGAAATAGGTAAGTTATTGGAATATTAAACTAAGAATATCTTTAAAAACTGCACGCACAACTAGCACCTGTTTCGGATTTGTAAGCATACCTGTCTGTACCGACTACCCAGGGAAAGGTCAGAGAATTTAAATAAATGTCTGTATTTATGTGTAATTTGGACTTGGAAGGAAAGGGGTAATGTATGTATGTGTATGTGAGCAATAACGTGTACATTTGAGTGGACTATAAACTGAGGCGGGTGTGATTTTTATGAACATCTCCATGTATGTTATATATTTGTGGAATAAATAAAAGTTTGTTTTTTTAAACTGCACGCACAGAGACAACACAATCTCAGAAAGGTATTTTTAAATTGTTACAGGAAAAACAAACATTTTCAAATAATCCTACTTGAGTATTTCTTCGCGACACTGCCTCTGTGTGGCGAAGCAGGCGATGGCCCACATCTTGATCTCCACCCCGGTGTGGAACTGCTTCCCTCTCATGTCCCACACCCCGTGGCTGGGCGTGGCTACAGTGCGGTTCTGAAACAACATTGCAGTCTCACCACATGTACTCGTGATTATGTGGGCAAACACTCATATCCGCACTGTTCATACACACTCACACTTGGACAGTGAGATAGACAAGTGTGTACTCACTTCCATTCTGTACACACACAAACACACTATTACTTTCTGAAATCCCACAGAACCCATACACACTCTTCATCCATACCAAAATGTATTAACACTCATTTTCATACAAAAGAAAGGAATGTCAGTCAAAGAAACATGCAAAAACTATTTGTGCTGGAGACACAACTCACTGACTAAATCAAAAATATAATCAAGTTACATTTAATTGGAGAGTAAAGGGATGCACTATGTGAGTGAATATATAATGGTGCAAGATGATACTTGCACAGCACAGTGTTATAGCAAATATGTTATAGTTCTCACTAATGCACACATCCTAAGGTATAACAGTACAGTAAAGGTGTGTCTCCTCAGAAAACATACACAGACGGATGTTAATCAACACTGTGGTTCAGTCTCAGTAAAATGCTTCCTAATGCAACATTTTTTAAGGATAATTAACATTGCTAAGACGGATCTACTTTATAAGCTATTCAATTATGATTTGGGTATTCTATTTTTTAATTCATAATAGTTATTCTTACAGAGAGAAATAGGTTTCGTAACCCATCTCTCTCTCTCAAAAATAATAAAAAATGCTTACAGGAAGCTCCTCAATATTTGACAAAAATGGGCACTACTGAGACTCAGCCACACAAAGAAAAAGACTGACACCATGAAGCACAAACAGAAGCCAGTGTGTTAGTTCCCCTCAGAGACAGTGGAGCAAAAGCTCAGTGAGGGGAGAGCGTGTCAGACAAACAGAGATAATGGGCATGATTTAAAGGAAGGGTACCATAAAGTGCTCTGTGCTCACCCTGCCGCCGTATTGCAGCATAGGGGCAGGTAGCACTCGCCCCGTCACTTGGGCCATCTCGTCGCGAACCTTGAACTGGAACTCCTGCACAAAGGGGTCTGCCTCGTAGTTGGCACTGCGCACCTACAGGGAAAAGAGGCGGGAAAATATGACTCAGGGTCAGGCCCGGGTATACAGCAGGAGTAAGGAACACTGCAGTGCTGAGAGGTATACATTATAAACTCATTTGGTCTAGTGAAATGTCCTATACGTACTCACTCATTGTGGCTAGTTTTGGTTTAAGGAATAGTTTGACATTATGGGAAATAAATGTTTTTGCTTTCTTGCTGAGAGTTAAAAGAGAAGAACAATTATTTATTGAAAATCTTTCACAAAAAGTCAAAATATTCCTCCAACAGCATCAGCTAGAGCAGGGGTGTCAAACTCAAATACAAAGTGGGCCAAAATAAAAAAATGGGTACTAGTCGAGGGCCGGACTGGTTCAATGTTTATTGCAAAACTTATTGAAATGAACTTATTGCACATATTAAACCTGGAACTAACAAAGCTTAAATTATTGCCTATAAAAACAAAATTAAACATTAAATAATCAGTTGCATTCATTTCTTATGGCTCTATCTGCAGATTGTCCGGAGTCATTTCTTATGATTACATTTTTCCACAGGCCAACAACAGCTTCAAAAAAACTATTTCCCTCAAAGAGAAAACCAAACATGCCCTGTTGTTGCAAGAAAAAAAGTGCAGAAGGAAACATCCATTGAAACTCAGTGTGCTGCTCTGTGATGCACACTAAGCCAGATACTTGGCATCTCATCTTGCGTGCAAGTTCATCAATGTTTGGGGTCAGGCTCTGAGCTGAGGAAATCCTCAGGATTGAGTGAAGGTGTGCGTGCAATATACCGGCGGGCCAGATCTAATATTAATTAGAAATTATCCAGCGGGCCGAAATTAAATCCACCAAGGGCCTGATTTGGCCCCCGGGCCTTGAGTTTGACACATGTGAGCTAGAGTATGTTTTGTTCCTACTGTTTACTGTATGACAAGCTAACACAGCTCTTGAGAGAGATTGCAGGGCAGCACTGTTTTTATTAAAAATATTTAACCACTACAGCTTGCCTCTGTGCCGTCATTGTTTAAAATACACATTATGATTATGCGTGTAACCCTAATGAGGCATTGCTTGTGTTTGCATGGGTATTGTTCTTCTTTCATGCTTCTTCTGCAGTGCATAGGACAAATGTAATGGAAATTGGTGATTTATCACTAAATGTCAGCACCCTAATCCTAAATGACTTCAAGCTTTCAAGATGTCCAATGATATTTGGATTTACTTTGAATTCAGTTTATAGTTCTGACATATAGGACCTATTTCCTTTTTTGTTTTTTCTACTGTCTCTCTGCTGTTCCGCCCACACTGCCCTGACAGTTTCAAGCCATCTAAATGAAAACGCCAACACGCTGCTGTCTGCAATGATTTCCTGTAAGCAAGTCCAGACACTTTTGAGAGAAGAGATAGGGAGATGTGGTTTAATAAGGTAACGGCATACTACATTTGTTTTGTTAATCTGATGGTGGCCAGAGGCGGTGTGCAGACTGTCAATCTTTCTCTAAACGACGCGCTGCAGACACTGTAGCAGCCTCACACATTAAGCCATTACCACTCTGGTATTCTGTTCACCCTGGGTAGGGCTGTCTTGTAATTGCCAAATGCAATGACAAGCAGGCAGACAAGCCTCTGTTAACAATATAAAATGAGAATCTGGAAGAGGTGATTACAAAACAAGTCATTTGACATCAAGATGAGCAGCATGGCAACCAAGTGATAACAAGCTTAGCAACGCAGCAGTCATCCAGGCAGTGTTTTGTCTCTGGCTGTGTCTGTGTCTGAACCAACAATGGATTATACTTTCCACCATAGGCACTATAACCTTAACCTAAACTTCTTGAATATTGGTGTATGATCAGCGCACTGTACAGGAGAAGAAGATTTTCTGCCCACTAGAAACATTTTAGTGGGAAAATTGGACTTTATAAAACGCTATTTGTTTTTGTGTTACAAAACATATTGGTAACTATCTTAATCATACACATTTTTGCAATTCTCCGCTCATTGAGAAAGACAATTTAGCCTTTAAATAAGTGTGAAAACCAGCTCTCCCATCTTAACTTTCCTACAGTATTAGCTGAATGTTTCCTAAAGTTCTACACTGCTACTTACACATGTGTTTCAGTCTTCAAACAGGGTGTCATGGTGTGGAGGGATACTCACTAGCCTGCTGATCTCCTCCTGTCTGTCGGGCGCAGAGCGAGCCGTGGCTTTGATCATCGTGGAGGTCTGATTATCGGTCAGCTTCTTGATGCAACGTTGACCTGCTACAATGTTACACACCTACAAAGAATAGGGGAATATCATTTTAGGTATTATAAAGCCAGCAAAAGACCGTCTAGAAATGCTTAAGCTTTGTATGTATGTGCATCTTGTTCATTAAGCTGAATGATACCCAGCTCCCAGGCATACCTGAATGAAACCCATAAAAACGAAGAATAGCAAATATTTTTCTCTCACCTCCAGGGGCAGGTAGGTGTGCTTCTGCTCCTGGCCCACTTGTAGACAGGGCAAATGTGGGTACTTGAGCTGCAGGCTGTACTTCTCCCTGAAGTACTGGGCTACAGTGCGCTCTACAGTCTGACCGTTTTCCAACTGTAGAGGGAACCTGCAGAGAAAAGAGCAACTCGGGTCAAAACCTACACCAGAGACGAGGGCAACTGGATCAGATTTATTATTAAATATATAGTACAATTAGGGTGCCCACTCATAGTTATTAGTTGAACTTGAAGCTGCAATATTTGTAATGAATTGATGGAGAATATATCAAGCTAAAGTTAGTAAAAACCTTCAATTGTCACTTGTTTGCCTGACATGTTGAACAAACAACACCATGTAAGGTAAGCAGTGATTAAGAGAGACCTGTTTGCTATAAATGCATCCTTTCTGATGGCAATACAGTGACGCAACAGCATTTAAAGGATAACACACAGCGAGGTATAATACTCAGGGTTGTTAAGACTCACTGAAGGTCAGCAGCCGCACACAGCAGCTGCTTCACTCTTGGATGACTAAGATTAACCGCATTGTTGTAAGATGAGTCAGCAGTTAATGGTTTATTTGGTGATGAATTTGTGATCGCATCCTCTGTGGAGTGTGTGTGTGTGTGTGTGTGTGTGTGTGTGTGTGTGTGCACCCCGGCCCCATCCCATCCACACACTCCGCCCAGAGCCGTTCCCTCGCCCACCCGGAGACTGACTCACGTTTGATGGCTAGCAGGCCGACGGGTCACGTTGCAGACGCGGTACTTCCTCCGCATGGTTCCACAGTGCGTCACCTCCACCTTCAGACCTAGTGAATATCACAAAGTGTTTGAGTAGCATTAGGAAGGTGTTTCTTTGCGATTGGCTGCGACATGTGCTGTCTCTGTTTTCGCTCAAACTCTCCATCTCTACCCCACACACAAGTAATGCACTTTTATACAATTCATGCAGACACATTTTACACTTACCTTTAATTTCTTTGGTGAATTTGACCCGGTGCGAGTCTGTGAGAGGGCGAGGCTGCTCGTCTATGTTGTGGATGTCCAGCACTTCACACATGAACTGGATGACTGGCTGAGCCTTGTAGAAGGCGGTGGCGGACACTGTAAATAAAAAAAAATAGAGACAACAGTCATTTATTTGTTGTTATTTGATTTAGCAAAAAATAACTGTCCAACATTGTAGGTTAGCGGGAAAGTAAAAGTTGACCTAACCACTGCCGAAAACACTTTAACCGTTTATTACTCTTAGCTTTAAAAAGCCTACATTTTATCAAAACAAACTCGAAACACAGCTTCGAGTAACAAAGTAAAAGCTTGAAAACCAAGCAATTCGTCACAGTGGGATGCATATCATCTTGAATCTGCAATTATTATGAAGCTCATTAAGAGGCCCATCACAGTGTTTGTGTAATCAGCCCACCATGTTAAATAAATTCATTGAACACAGGAAGTGCAGTTCATGCAGCACAAAATCTGTGTGTAGATTCAGCAATTCTCAAATAGACGGGCTCCCTTTGTTCTGACAAAATACTATCTCTTAATAAATGGAAAAACTGAGGCACGGAAAAAAATGTGATATGATAGGCGAGGCGGAAAAGCAAGACATCAGAGAGAAATCTAAATCCCGGGGGAAAGGTACTGTATGACATAACTAACAGCATGATCAAAAGAAATCCAAAATGTAGCAGTTAAGAGAGAGTGGTGCTGTTGTTGACCAATAATGTGGCTGCCTTGTTGTGACGCAAGACATCTCTTTGACGTGGTGTTTGATGAAAGCACTGCAAGCGCACATCCTTGAGGCAGATGATTGTCCTTTCCACGCATTGTGATTTTATTTCAGTGTTCGAATTTGAATGAGTTATTCTTGCAAAAGTTAAAATGGAAAAAGGTATATAACAATTATATGCGCTTTTGATCACCTCTGAAGCTAAGCGTGGGAAGCAGTGTTTGTTAGTGCACATTAAATAGGCGTCATGGCTTGCATTGCAGTTCCAGAAAACCACTTTGAGTTCTAGTTTGTTGCTGGAGAGCAGACAACAGACTGGAGCAGCCGACCAACTGATTTCGAGGGATGACAGGGCGGGAAAATGAGACAAAGAGGAAATAAGAGGGAAAAATTCAAATAGAGACAGAGGCTTCAAAGACTTTGAGCAAAACAAAAGCTGTCCCAAGGAAATGCTACACAACAGCTGCCCTCCTGACCAGCACACACACACACACACACACACACACACACACACACACACCACACACACACACACACACACACACACACACACACACACACACACACCACACACACACACACACACACACACACAACACACACACACACACACACCACACACACACACACACACACACCACACACACACACACACACACACACACACACACACACACACACACACACACATCACACACACACACACACACACACACACACACATACACACACACACACACACACACACACACACACACACACACACACACACACACACACACACACACACACACACACACACACACACACACACACACACACACACACACACACACACACACACACACACACACACACACACACACACACACACACACACACACACACACACACACACACACACACACACACACACACACACACAGTCTCCAAAGCAACCGACTAGTCAGTTCCCATCCAAGCAACAACCCACCTCCCTCCAAGTTGCTCTCACACAGACCATCTCTCTTGTCAGCAGAGACTGTCCAACAACCTCCTGCAGTGTGCTTATGGCAAAACATACTCTCCATTTGCCCTTTTTGCCACTTATTTTCAAACATAATAACGGATTGAAATTCTAGCTCACTATTCCAGGTCATCAAACACAGCATTGCTACTAACTAAATACCCCAGCACTAAAGCCAATTATCAAATTAAATCTTTTACTTTTCCATTTGTTTTCCAAAACATTTCTCAGCAAGCTAAATTGTCTCTTTTCGAACATATTGGTCAACTAAAAAACATGTGATGTCAGGGATGGAGCAATGCCATTATCATGTCAAGCTAAAGTTGTTCAACAGCCTTTACAGACAATGCAAATGAAGGTAGATTTTTGATATATATTTAGTAGTACTGTATGCCCATAGATGAGCTGCTTCATAAAAAAGTGATTGAGTTCCCTGGCACAGCACCTTAGCCGGCCTGGTGAAGAAAAAGCATGATCACCTCATTCATTTCAATAGAAATAGCCTTCTATTTTCTATTAAGTTTAATATTGTTACGTTAGAATTATGTTCAATATTTTCAAACATAACATCACTGAAAGTTAATTGTGTATGCGTAAATCTTTAATAAATAAATAGCCTGTATCCTTGAGGCTCCATGGCATTCTAATCCATCTGTTAAATGATTAAAATTTCATTTCCAAAGCTTTGAAAGGGGAGCAGAGAAAGCTCTCTCTGTGTGGCTCTACAAGAGAATAAATCGTTTTTAAACAAAGATTGGATTACAAAGAAAATAAAGTGAATTTGTTTTTATATTTTATTTATTTGCTGTAGGCAGAAAGCTTTTGTTTTTCAAGTCTTGTTTATAGCTATCAGGCAATATTGTAGGCCGGCAGAGCAACATTAATGCAAGGTGGAATTTGGTTCTCACCATCAATGTTAAGCATCATCTTCCACATGGCAGGGCGCACAGATTGATGGAAACCAAACCAAACCTCCCTCCCACCTCCCAGGGGATGGTCATAGCCCTCAGGAGCCGAGAAGAAGGAGCGACCAACCGGAGTGTACCTGGATGGAGAAAAATATCAATCATAAGCAAAGGGAAAAGAGATAGAAAATAATGTGAAAAAAGGACACAAAAGGAATATGGGGCAGGGCGAGTGAAAGGAGACAGGAAATGTAAGATTAGTTCAAACATCCTGAATTGTGAATGTAGGTCAATATGTGTTTAAACGGTGAGACATTCAGCTGCTTTTCAATATGGCCTGAAACTACATGAGTGAAATGAGAGGTGGAGACACTGCCTGGACCCCTCCACCTCCTATTACTCTGCCCAGGAGAGACATTAATAAAGATACAGGGGCTACATTATTCTTGTCGAATCCTGGACTTACAATGTGTCCTGATGCCATTGCAAAGCAATAACGTCCGAGAGCAGGGCTAAATGAAAGGTGTCGCTATAACCACTTTTTAATAATGCTCTGAAAAAGACTTTCATTAAAGTGCTGATGATATCGGGTTCAACCGTGCTCTTGCTGGGGCTTAGGAAAGTGATATCGAGTGGAAGACGGTACGAGGTCAGAAATGGCGCTTCGTGAGAACCCGTATAAGCTAGGTTTGATTTCCGTTGGGATCACAGTGCTGATATTGGTGCCGCTATGACAAAACAAATATATAGTATGTACAACGAATATCAGAGGGATCAGGTTTTACAATGTGCTCTCTATCTTTGACTTTATGTTTGCTGACTGAAAAGGAAGGTGGAGAGATCAGGGAAGGATAAACGGACAGTTTTCTTGGACTGGTTCTGTTAAAATTCTTTAACATGATCTCACAATTACTTTACAAAGAAAGGTCTATTTAGGCGTGTAGCTGTCATTACAAGAGTTAACCTATGAGTCTTAACCTTTATGAAAACATAGATAGAGTAAAACAGCTCACTTCATGGAGGGCAGGTGTCGCAGCACCACGTCGACTGCGTGCACCGGGTTGGTGCTGATGGGCTTGTCAAGCTCCAGGGGCTCAGGCATGCAGCGGCCGGTCAGCACCTCGTGGAGCATGTGCCAGCTGACCAGAGACGCAAACTTGATGGAAACTTTGAAGGGGCGATCTTTGCCTCCCTCACCTGGTAGAGTGACATCCAGGTCCACCTGAGAGGAGGGGAGAGGGTGAGACGACACAAAGAAGGTGAGGTAAGGCGGTACATTTGGTGAACAAAAGCAGTGTCTGTGAAAGATGTGTATGTGTGTTTCGTGTTGTATATCGTGTGATATACTGCAGGTTTGTTTTGATTCAATAAATGGTGATAGTACACTTGATAACACATATGGTTTACATTCAGCTTGTACTGAAAAGACATTTTTGTGTGACTTTTTTCCAGCTCACCCCTGCAGGAGCCACAGGCAGTGGGTTGGCTGTGTACAGGCTCCTCTTTCCATCATAGACTGGCCTGCGATCCCCAAAGATTGTCACCTTAAAGTGCTTTACCATTGAGTCGACCACCTCCCTGCAAAACACACACACACACACAAAGTGATCGTTAGTCATACCAGGGTATATGCAGGAATCCTGAAGTCAAATGTAATACCTTTTAAGACCTTTTTTAAGACCCTTTCCATACATTTTAAGACCTCATCGTCACTTTGAGTTTTAACCGGTTACATTGGCGACACACTTTACCTCACATTTACTATATTCAGTATTGATTGTCCTTCCTCCTTATCTTCCAACCATTTGGACGCAAACTTGCATTTCCCCATAACGATGTTGTTTAACAACCGGCGTAAACGGACCTTTGCGCGCTATCAAGCAGTGAGCGTGCGATGTCCTGTTCAGATGACGTCAAATCCAACGGGATGCCATAAATAAACTACACAGAATCACACTACACACCTACGCAATAATTACATTCAGGCAAACTGTAGAATACAACCTCTTTGGACAATTTATATACTTATTGAAAACAAGCTACAAAATGTAATACCTTGGAAAATGCATTTTAATACTTTTTAATAGCCTTAATCTTCGCTAAATTGATTTATCAACTTTGAATACTTGTTAAGACCCCGCGGACACCCTGCATATGGTTGGCAGTAAAACTATTACATGTTTAAACTGTCAAATTAAAGATTATTAAACAAATCATTACTGGGATTTTTTAATCAAAGGTCACAGATTCAACCCAAACAATATTCATGTGTCCATCAACAGCCATTTTCCTTTTGGAAAGACGCTGTGTACTCACTGTTTGCACATGCTCTAATTGGATATAATGTAATAGTTTCTAAATGTAAATATTGTATCGGAGAAAGGTGTAGGAAAACTTTAAAATATATGATTCCAGCCTACCTGTTGACTCTCCGGGGGCACTTGTCAGGTGTGATGTCCACCTCGTAGAGGTAGACATCCATCTTGGGGATATCCACCTGGAAGCAGTTGGCCAGCAGCTTGATGGGCTTCCCCATGGTGCCAAAGCCAGGCCGCCGAGGCATGGCGAACAGGGACTGGGCCCCAACGGCTGGAGGAGAACAAAGGGTGGAGGATAAGTGAAAAGGAAACAGTTTTTAGATCAGAGGATTTGCTAAATGTATGTACAGTGAGCAGGATTCCCAACATTGACAGTGGCTCATAACAGATAACCATCTTTATCAGTTTGTATATTTAAATGTACATTACTTCTGAAACTCAAAGTTTAATATAAATTATTTAACTTCCCAGAATTAAACAGGATGCTTAAAAGGAACATGTACTATTTAAAAGGAACAAATATTATTTGTTGGGCTTGATAGACAAAAAAAGGGAAACCAGATGTAGTGATTTAAAAAGCATTAGATGGTTAAAACCACACACACTGTAACAAGGTAAAAGGTGCTTAATGGTGGAGATTGCACAATTAATAAACTTTCAATGAAACTGTAATTTCCCACACGTAAGACTACATAAGCATGAGAGTTTATGGTGCACAAACTGTTAGGCACATGGACATAACACATATTACAAAAAACGCATATACGCCATATGTGCAGCGTCTGTATCAGGAGGTACATTGATTGGTTAATGAAGCAGCTTTGATTGTGATAAAATGCATTAATGATAAAAGACGAATCAAATGTGATGACAGCCATCCTGCAATTCAAAATACCTACCATTATCAGTGTCACGTTAAAATGATAAAAGGCCAAAAATGTGACTTTTCAGAGATAATTACAACTAAAAACCTTTAATATCACTGTGGTGGAACAAAAACAAAGAGGCCTTGTTAGATGACAGATATGAAAATGACTCACATTTCAGATAATGCAACCTCTATGTTAACCATTTGCTGTAATTGAGGACCAGCAAGCACAAATTATGGCATAATTATCAACCTTGAAAAATAAACTACAAACCACTTTCTTTGAGAATAGTTCTACAATAGACCAATAAAGGATGACATGTGTTTACCCCTGACTGTGTAGTGTGGTTTAACCAAGGAAAATTGATTCTTTGTAATATACAACTAAACTATTTTCCTTCTCCAAGAAATAAAATAACGGGAAAAACGAACAAAAGGCTGATAAGTACAAATTATAGGCCTCGAATCTCTACAGAAATACAGAAATCCTTTGTGTAAGTACTTCAAGTCATCCCGCATGAATGCCGTTCACAAAACTCAGCAACACAACTGTCACTTCATTTTTGTACACAAATCCATCTATTGTAGGCCCTATCATCTAAATTAAAGTGGACCTATCATGCTATATTTTAAATATATATTGTAGGGCCATACCTATATAAAACATGTCTGTGAAGTATTTTTTTCAAAATCCCAAACAGATCACCCATTGTAGCCATGCCTCATACTGCTCAAACCCCTCTTTTGAAGCCCCGTTAGAGAAACTCAGATTTTGGATCCTTAGCTTGAAAAACAAAAGAAGAGGAGGCGGAGCTAATGCCTGATCAGAATTCTACCGGAGATAAAGTTAAATTCGGTTGTGATAAAACGCCATCCTGTTTAATCAACGTCAAGGATGATTTCTGAAATAGTATGGAGCTCAAATGCCTTTTCTCTTGCAGGTTTATCACAAGGTGAGTTCCTTTTTTATATTGCCTGCTTTTTAAAAACACATGTGCTCTACAGTACAGGTTAGCTCCGAGTGTTAGCGAGGCTCGCTAATGTAAACAAAGACGAGATTATGTCCAAAACACGTCAGGCATTGTTTCTGATAGCAACTTTCTGTAGGTCCGCAAATCTGTATCCGCTCGTTGTACCCCCGTTTTTAAAAGATTTGGGTACGGAGGAAAAGAGAGAGGGTTTATTTTCTGATGCTGCGTGAGTTCCCCGACGCACCGGGGACACATATTTATGTATAAAAGACATCACAAAGTGCATTTTGCATGATAGGTCCCCTTTAAGTAAACACAACACAATGCAGCTTTGAGGGGTAATACTTCAAAAAGATTGAACAACAAAGACGCAAAGTATGGGCTCTAAGCATGAGAACACATTATCCCTACTGTGTAGTGCTGCTCACAACAGAAAATATACCTACTCAGTTTGCATATTTGAAGAAAAAAACGGATTTACTGCAGATGCACACAGACCATAAGATGTGTCAGACATGAGTCACTTTGATCCAGAAACAGTGAGTTCTGTAATGTGGCCCTCTCATGTCAGAGCTATTTATATGGCTGCTGAGGCTTGCCTTCCACTTCACACTTAAAGAAGGAAAATGACTATTCTGACGTGCCAATACTCTGTTTGGATGATATAAAGCATTTAGATATCGTTTTTTAACACAAAACCTTAGATGAAACTCATGTTATTGCCTGGCAAATGTTTATTTTTAAGCCTACTTTCAAGTTGGAAGTTCCAGCTACCATGGTGTTCTTTTTTTGTCTCCTTTCTTTTCAGCCGTGGGCCTGCCATTCTCTATTCTCGACTAAAAGACTAGCCCAAATGTGTCATTGATAAATGAGAGTCATGATTCATCACCGATTTGACTCATAGACTCACATGTGTGGGTGATGTTGGGGTTAAGGGCTCTGCTGAGGGGGAAGCTCATAAAAAACCACCCCAAACAGAACAGAAACCTTCTGTGAGGTAAAAGCAGAAAACATGAGCAACACTGTTGTTTACAGTCCGGCTTTGGAAGTGTTTACTCTCTGCCCGACTCTTTTTTCAGTTTCTCCAATGGTGGGCTGTGGAGCGGAGGCTAACGGGGTTGTTGGAGGGTGCAGGCCTCGTGTTTGAAATAACTTGCTGGGATAAAATGGGGAAAAAGAGAGGGAAGTCTGGAATTCCTGCCACGGCTGTCCCTCTCACACTGAACTAAGTGCACACAAACTTTTGTAATGGTAATTCCAATGGGGCCCTCAGTGAAACTAGTGAGGTAAGCCTCATTTCACGCACACACAGTGACAAAAAGAAGAAAGACAGATATTCTGGTAAATCTTTATTAAGCCAGAAATAAACTTGTCTACCACAGATTGTGATCTCTCCTAATTCATTCCCCCTAAGGCTCACTCAGAAGGCCCTTGATAAAAAACTTCAAGATGGTTCTCTGGTTCTGAGAGCACTTCATTTTCTGAAGATCCTAGAGAAGTGGATAAGTAGGAGGAGGATAGCAGGGAGTGGCAGGATTACAGAGTGGGCAGGGTTGGTGTTTTCCATCTTTCATCTGCCTCTCACAACTGGCTAGCATTCAGCATGAGTCACAGAGCCACCACGAAGTGAGTCCATGCTTCTAGATTCAGTAGTGGATGAAGTACAGTAGCAATAACAGGGTCTTACAGTGAGAAAAAACACCTCCACATTTGCTTTTGTTTCTGTATCAAACCACAACACAGAGACCTACAGAAATGTTTAGATGCACTATGACTTTGTATCAAACTGCTTTAAATGTTCACATTCCGACAAATGAATTATTCCTGAAACACCACAAGCTCCAAGGCTACATAAACAAAGTGCCTGTTTGTACTACAGACCAATCTGTGATCACTTCAATGTCGTACAAATGGGCAGGGAACAGGCTGTGATATTAAGATGAACTATGCATGTCACACAGATGTGTTCTGCAGCTTTTTCTGAATAGCCAATCGGATGCTGATCATCGAGCAACAAATCAGATACCTCCCTCTTATCTGAACTTCTTGGAAACTGTCTTGCTCTGTTCCCTCCTCAAACAGACATAACAAATGCGTTCTCCATGGGCAAGAGCTAGGGGGTCAGAGAGGGGGGATTCAGTGGGAGAGTCCAAAGCCTTTACAGTTTGAGTAAGTAGGTCCTATATTTACCTGCTGCCACCAGCAATAAAGGGGAATACAGTTAGTACTAGTTAGGGCTGCTCAGTGCTCAATTAATCGTATTTTAAATCGCAATTACGATTATGGCTTGCAACGATTACGAAAACAACGTAATCTAAATAAAACGATAATTTTTTTATTATTATTATTATTATTATTATTATTATTATTATTATTATTACTACTTTTTTTTTTTTTTTTTTTTTTTTTTAATTACTTTTTTTTTTTTTTTTCAGTTGAATTATACTTAATGTTCAGGGTAATCAACTGTTCAAAACATACTGTTCAAAAAAAAATTCTCCAATAAATTGATGTTTTCAAAGTAAATAGATAATCGTTTTTAATAATCGTGATATCAATTATTGACCCAAATATTATGATTTTTGCCATAATCGAGCAGCCCTAGTACTAGTACAACTAGTACAGTTAGTTAGTTTGTAAGTTTGAGATATGTAAGCAGAGTCAGACTAGCAATGTGGCCAAAATATTTATAGTTAATTCCATATATGTCTTAATGATGATAGATAGCATGTAATAAAATGAAATATTTGAATGTTGCCAATATTATACAAACTTTATAGGGATATACCAAGTAAAACTATGGGTTTATTATGCTTTAATCCTGTGAGCGTGAAAGGTGGCTCTTAAATGTTGCTAGTTTCTTCTTTCAGAGAACAGACGCTGGGCTGCGGTCAGTTTGAATGTATGTCCCGTACACTGTACTCCAATAGCAACATGGTTTAACTGCAGTAATACAGTAACAAAACACCCATAGAAACTTCTCAAACCACTCCTATGAGTCCTGCAATATAATCCACCTTCATGCTGTCCAACAGTATGCCCAATATGCTCAAAACACTCGTGCTATTTCATTTGCTAAACACACAGCTTCAGTTTGCTTTAGAATGTTTGTCTGTGCCATTACATCTCTGTAGCCTATTCATAATAAGCATCAGTGTCGGTATGGATCTGAATTGGTTCAAATGTATCCAGATGCAGCTTCATATAATTGTACATTTAAAGGAAGTAAGTGAGTTTCATTCAGTCTCATTCTCTTCTCTAACACTTAACACTATGTATAAGTTATATGAGGACCAATCCATCAGCCAGTAACATCAAATTAGCTGCATCAGTGGTTTCAATGGATAATGTGTGGCGAGCACAAGGGTTGAATTTAATAATTAAACAAAGCTGACTTATCCCATTCAAGTGAGACACCTCAATTGTGCACAT